TTTTTTTTGACAGTTTCACTGTGTCACCTTTAGTAGAATGCCATGGCATCACAGCTCACAGCAACCTCAAACTCTTGGGTTTAAGCGATTCTCTTGCCTCAGCCTCCCAAGTAGCTGGGCCCACAGGTGCCTGCCACAACACCTGGCTATTTTTTGTTGCAGTTGTCATCGTTGTTTAGTTGGCCCAGCCCGGGTTTGAACCCACCGACTTCAGTGTATGTGGCTGGTGCCATAACCACTCTGCTAGGAGCGCAAACCTTGGGAGTGTTTTCTGTTTCCCTCATCTGATGTGCCTGACTCTGCCTCAGGAAGTGGGTTGTGTCTTAGCCATCTGGTAACCAGGATCTGGCAGTTGAAGCTCTAAGAACACGCCCCACACCTACTCCTTCCCTGCACAGCCCCTACTGCTCTGGGCTGGTGATCTAGCACCAGCATCACCTGCCCAGGCTGAGGGTACTGCCATCCTGCGGGTGTTCAGAGCACTCAGCCCCGACATCCCCAGGACAGCATCCACTGCCCAGGCATCCTCACCCTGGTGGCCGTGTTCCCCCAGCCCTGAGGCCTGCAGACCCTCCAGGACCCCACCCAGCCTGAGGGCCTTTGCTGTGTACGAGTTCTCCCTACAGACACCCACAAACCCCAAAACCTCCACTCACTCAACCCCCGAGACCCCAGGAGTCAGAGTCTGGGGAAAAGCAAGCACAGGGTAGGGAGGGGATTGTGGCCCCATCTGTCTTTCTGGTTCCTCCCACACCTGAGTCTGTATAGCTTTCAGGGAGTTCAGTGGTGAAAGTCTCACACTGTAGGAAGCATTATTCTATAATAAAAGATTTTTTTAAACAAGTTAAGATGTTAATAATCCTGTAGCCAGCAATAATGAGTACCTGGCAATTCAGTATTGTGTTCTTTTTTATTTTGAAAATTTTGATAATAAAAAGAATTTTTAGGGCGGCGCCCATAGCTCAGTGGGTAGGGCTCTGGCCACATATACCAAGGCTGGTGGGTTTGAGCCTGGCCCAGGCCTGCCAACCAACAATGACAACTGCAACCAAAAAATAGCTGAGTGGGGACCAGGTGCAGTGGCTCACATCTGTAATCCTAGCACTCTGGGAAGCTGAGGCAAGTGGATTGCTTGAACTCAACAGGTTCAAGACCAGCCTGAGCAAAAGCAAGACTCCATCTCCACTAAAAATAGGAAAACCGAGGCAAGAAGATTGCTTGAGCCCAAGAGTTGGAGGTTGCTGTGAGCTATGAAGCCACAGCACTCTACCCAGGACAACAGCTTGAGACTGTCTCAAAAAAAAAAAAAAAAAAACAGTGAGGGAAAGGGGGGAATGAGTGGCACTTGTGGCTCAAAAGGGTAGGGTGCTGGCCCCATATGCCGGAGGTGGCGAGTTCAAACCCAGCCCCCGCCAAGAAAAAAGAAAAAATCGGCTAGGCATTGTGGCAGGCACCTATAGTCCCAGCTACTTGGGAGGCTGAAGCAAGAGAATCACTTAAGCCCAAGAGTGTGAGGTTGCTATGAGCTGTAACATCATGGCATTCTACCCAGGGTAGAGACTCTTAAGACTCTGTTTCCAAAAAACAACAAAAAAAGACTTTTTAAAGTGATATGACATGAAAGTGCCACAGACCCCACAACATGGCTCACTGCATTGTTGACCTTCCAGCACTGTGAGGGTCCAGCAAGGCACCAGGGGACTACCCGCAGGTCCCTCGCTGGCGCCAGCTGGCATCGCCTGCCTGCTGGAGGCAGTGCATGCCACTGAGCCACACTTTGGGATTTAGTTGTATTTCAGAGCCCTTGGGGTGACCATGGACGTGCCTGTCTGGGTGCAGAAGCCCAACATGGACCTGAAGATCTGCATGTATGACCGACTCTACCAGGACTCTGTGCTTGTGCACACACGGTGAGTGCCAGCAGACACTTAAGGACCAGGAAGTGGGAGGTGATCCTGGATTACTCACTGGGGAGGCAGGAGGGCCAGAGTCAAGGCAGGTGCAAAGATGCTACTGCCAGCTGTGTAGATGGGAGGGGCCACAGGCCACACGAAGCTCCAGGAGCCAGCCTTGCCTACACCTTGACCCAGTGAGGTCCATTTTGGATTTCTGACCTCCAGAGCTCAGAGAACAAGTTTCTGTCATTTGAGGCCCTAAGTTTGTGGTGACGTGTTTTAACAGCCACCAGAACCTGTGCCCGCTGCATTCCCAGGTCACTGGGCCACAGCCCTTGCCCACCTGGGGCACATAGCAGCCTGAGAAGAGGACGTTCTTGTTTGCAGTGTTTCAAGGGTGTCCACACATCAGAGCAATAAGCCTATTGCTGAGGCCCCACTTAGATGGAGGGAAACAGGTGACTCAGGCTTTCCTGAGTGGACACCATGGTGTCCTCACCCACCCCAGGAGGCAGCCCCCACCCTGGGACCCAGGTGGAAATGTTCCCTTCTGACATCCCAAGCAGTCCTGCCCCATGAACCTACAATTGGTGACCATCGTGTCTGCAATGGGATCCTCATGGCCAGGCAGGGAGCCGCCGTCTTGTGAGCTGGGCACTTGTCAGAGGGAGCTTGGGCATGTCTGTGTTGGGGTGGGCACAGGTGGGTGCTCAGCTGGCTTGTCAGGGCTGCAGGTACTCTCACTTCCTGACCAGTGGCGCTTGCTGTCGGGGGTTGGGGGGGGTTGCCTTCTCAGCCCCACCCGAGGACACACCTTGTTTTGGAGAGTTGGGGTCTCTCTGTGTTGGCTGGACCACAGTGCATGTGCTATGCATGGGTACAATATGGCACTGCGACCTCTGGCTCCTGCTCAAGCAGTCCTCCCACCTTAGCCTTCCAAAGTGCTGGGACATCAGGTGCCACCACCACACCTGGCTTCCAAACACAAATTTGCTTGGTGATTTTTTTTTTCCAAGACAGAGTCTTAAGCTATCACCATGGCTAGAGTGCCATAGTGTCATCATAGCTCACAGCAACCTCCAATTCTTGGGTTCAAGCAATCCTTCTGCCTCAGTTTTTCTATTAGTAGAGACAAGGTCTCACTCTTGCTCAGGCTGCTCTCACACTGGTGAGCTCAAGCAATCCACCCACCTCAGCTTCCCAGAATGCTAGGATTATAGGCATGAGCCACCATGCCCGGCCTGCTTAGTGATTTTTAAAATTTAATACCAGTCATTTTGTCCTTTGTTTCACATACCTGGTATTACATCTGTAGGTGCACCAGGGTGTTTGTTCAGGAAGACGTCCTGCCCCGTTGCCCAAGGCAAAACCACCAGTCAACAGGGGATGCAGAAAGCAAAGTGGTGTCTGCTGAGGGGGGGCACGGTTATGAGCACCCTCATGGTCAGCCTTTCGAGTGGGACCTGGGCCCCTCAGTGGCTGGGGCTGAGGGCCCAGCAGGTGTGCTGGTGATGTCCATTGTGCAGTGAGCCTCCGGGAGGTGTCAGGAGCAGGCAGCAGGGGACAGGGACAGGCCCACCACAGCCCCAGGGGTTATTGAATGAAGAACGGGAGAGACTCGTCACTTCCGTGCCCCCTCTTGGTCCTCCCTTGGCCATGGCTGCCCCAGAGACCCTTGTAGATTGTCCAGCGTTCTTTGCACAGCCACAGCCTCTTGAGGAGGAGGCTGCCTGCATCAGGGTTCCTTAGCTGGCTTCACTGCCTCTGTTTCTCAACCACTGTGCTGTGCAGAGGTGGCACAGGACAGACAAAGATCATTCAAACCTGCCTACAGAGATGCCAGAAAGCTCTAGAATGTTCTGGATCCATGGCCCACAATTCTCAGGTGGGCCAGGAAACAGCTCCCTGGGTCTGCTCTTCAGATTGCTTTTTCTTCCTTCACTGAGAAGCCAGTCCTAGAGTGGAGGTCCTCACCCCACCCACTGTGAGAGAGCCCCAGGGGGGGCAAGGAGGGGGCTCCTGGCAGGAACAGGAGGCACCTGGTGAGCCCCAGGGGAGCTGGGTGATTGGTTGGGGCAACTTTGGCTTTCTCTGGTTGGTCCTGAGTTGGGCACTGCAGTCACTGCCCAAGGCCTGGCCGTCCCAGGGCCTCCTAGGCATCCTGTATGTGTGCAGCAGGGTGTGGAGAAGCCTGGCCCCCAAGGGCCAGCCAGGCCCAGAGCCTGGACAAGAGGAAACCAAACCCTGAAGGAGGGGTTCTTACCCCACATTCCCTACAGGCCCCTGCACCAGCAGCTGCTGGGCAGGAACTCTTCCCAGAGAACACTTCAGTTTCTGAGAACCACTGATGGCCATGTTTCAATTGTAGAATAATTATTTTTAAGAATTTCTCATCAGGTTTCATTTCAGAAAAACCGCCCCTTACAAAGCAGGGCTTAGAAGAGTCTCTAACAGCCAAGGTGCACGTGTATGGCTTGGGGCCCTGCTGGTGGCTTGGCTGTTAGGAACACTTGAATAACTCAGATGAAGCCCACGCACAGGCAAGGTCTGTTCCCACCTGACCAGGTGCCCCGATGCGCCCACAGGTCGAAAGCAGCCCTACGCCTCAGGTTCGAGGTCTGCAAGGAGCTGCGGGGCCATGTGGAGCTCCTGCCTGAGACAGGTTACATCCAGGCCCTGTCCTCCTACTCCGTGCAGCTCAAGTTCCTGCCCCGGTGAGTGCCTGAGATGTAGACCGAGAGAGGAGTATAGTTCCACACGTGTCCTCTGGGGCCCCTCCATCCTCTGCAAGGCCTGCTGGTTCACCACACCATCCCAGCCTCAGCACATGACTCCTATAGTGGCTGGGCTGCCCTCTGCTGAGCATGGTCTCCTGAACCCTCCCTCCATAACTCCCCAGGGCCCTGGGCCCTATGTCTCACACTCACCTGAGCTTTGCTTCTTTGCTGTCTTGCAGCTTCTTCCCCTGCTGGGGTCTCACACACACCTATTGCCTCCCCTCCCCGTTCCAAGGCTCTTTCCAGGCGTCCACAGCATGTCCCATCTTCCCAGCTTTTGCCAAGTAGTCTCTGGTTTCCCCACAGTGGCTTTTTTTTTTTTTTTTTTTGAGACATTGTCTCAGTTTTTCACCCTGGGTAGAGTGCTGTGGGGTGGTAGCTCACAGCAACCACAAACTCTTGGGCTCCAGTGATCCTCTTGCCTCAGTTTTTTGTTTGTTGGTTTGGTTTTTTTGAGACAGAGTCTCACTATGTTTTCCTCTATGAGTGTCCCGGCATCACAGCTCACAGCAACCTCAAACTCTTAGGCTTAAGCGATTGTCTTGCCTCAGACTCCCAGATAGTTGGGACTACTGGTGCCCATCACAACACCGAGCTATTTTTTGGTTGTAGTTCCCATTGTTATTTGGCAGACCCAGGCTGGGTTCAAACCCTCCAGCCCCAGTGTATGTGGCTGGCACCCTAGCTGTTGAGCTATAGGCACCAAGCCTTAGTTTTTCATTTGTATTACAGACAGGGTCTCACTCTTGGCTCAGGCTGGTCTCGAACTCCTGAGCTCAAGCAATCTGCCCACCTCAGCCTCCCAGAGTGCTGGGATTACAGGTGTGAGCCACCATGCCCAGCCTTCCCAGAGTGGTTCTTACAGTGCTTTGGGAGCTCCAAGTCCTGTTTTTAATTCCACTGCTGGTTCCCTTGGAACTGCCCTAACTTGGGGGTCGCCACCCATTTCTGGGGACGAGGACCTGTGCAGAGGGCTATTGGGGGTGTGCCCAGGATGTGGGCACAGCTGGTGACCTAAGAGAGCATCTTCTCTGGGCATCCGACCACTTCATGGTGGCACCAAGCAGAGCTGAGACCTGGCAGGCTGTCCACCGCGGTGAAGCTGATTTTTTATTTTTACTTCATATTTCTATGAGAACATTAATTTCCTTTTGTCATTGGAGCACATCAAACTATATTTTTTAAAGGGATTATGCATTTTTAAATGGGCTTTTTAGGATTCCTCTAAGTAAAAACTCCTTATTGATTTAAAAATGTTGGATTTACTTGCATTTATTTAAATGCAGTTGCTCCACAATATGTCCATGTCACACAGTCCCTGCACTGCGCTGCTGTTCACAGGATCGCTGAAGGCCCCATCCCCACAGTCCCTGCATTGGGCTGCACTGCTGGGGGCTGCTCTCACAGGGACACTGAAGGCCTCATCCCCACAGTCTCTGCATTGGCTGCACTGCTGGAGTCTGCTGCTCACAGGACTGCTGTAGCCCCATCCTTACAGTCCCTGCACTGGGCTGCACTGCTGGGGGCTGCTGCTCATTGGGATGCTGCAGGTCCCGTCCCCAGCACATGCCCTGTGCTGACTGAGCACCCGGGTCGGCACAGCGCACACTCAGAGCTCTTCTGTTTCGTGTATTTCACAGCTCTTGTCTGACTTAAAAGTGCCACTATAGGTCAGCTTTACTGTTCTTTCACAAAATACAAGGAAGAAAAGTCTGTTCAGGTGTGTCCTGCCTTTCAGACACTCCCTCCCGGAAGATGCAGGGAAGTATTTTGACCAGGAAAGCCGAGTTCTGGAGGCTCCAATGACGATATGGGTGGCTGACCAGGTCTGTGTTGGGATACTTCCCAGGGATGCTGGGCATGCCGTGAGCAGAGGGCTGCTCTGGGAGGCTGGGTTCTATGCCCAAGTGAGGCCCCTGAAAAGATGGGGCCTGGTGCCAGGGCCCTCCACAGATGCCTCCCAGTGGGTGGCCCATGGGGAAGGTCTGACTGCTGTCCATATAGTGCAAAGAAGGGAGGCCGCCATAGCCAGAGAGAGACACCCAGACCTGCAGTATACCCACAGATTCTGCCCCCACACTCCCAGGGCACATAGGTACACAGGGGCCACAGCCCATCTGATCTCAGCACCTACCACTGGACACCAAGGCTGCTCCTTGGCATTCTGTGTGGCTTCTGTGTCCTCCTGAGTCAGAAACCAGTCACAGGAGACGAGTGTGTTAAAGGGCTGTGCTGTGGAAACAATGTCAGTGGCCACAGGCAGCAGTGACACTAGTGCCTTTGGGGAGCATTGTTTGAGGGAGTATTTGCCTAAGTTTCTGAGTGGCTGGGGGTGTACTCTTGTCCTTTGTGCTTCAGATGAAACCAGTGGGGTTCACTATCCACGCCATTGTCACCACCTCAGACCTGGAGATCAGCCCCTCCGAGGTGGACTTTGGCTACTGCACCATCTATGAGGCCATCAGGACTCAGATCAGGCTCTGCAACCGCTCGCTTCTGCCCCAGGAGTTTGGGTTCGTCAGACTTCCCAAGGTAGTTCTCATGCCCAGGCCTTGGGGCATGTGGGGACCAAGGCCAGGCAGCCCTGAGGACAGGGCATGGCAGCTACTGCTCTGGGGTCTGGCACTAGGACTCAGATGGCCCTGCACCTCACAGCTTCTGCCTCTCAGCTGGTCCCTCATCCTCCCTCTTCTTTCCTGAAGCACCCTCATCCCTACCCTTCCTCCCTCTGGCCCACAGGACTCCAGACTCTTCTCCCCTACATTCATTCCAGAACTTTTCCTGCCCAGGCCACCAACCCCAGCACCCACCCACTCATACATACCCCCAGACACACTTCTTCACTCTCACCCATGCTCTCACAGGCTCATTTACTTACGCACACAGCATACCCCTGCCCACATGTGTGTACGCTCCTCCCCTGGCACTTCTGCAAACCCTGTTTTGACTTTGCTATTGGTATCTTGCCATTTTCCAGTTTGTGGATATCCAACCCAACGACGGGTTCGGCACAATCCTGCCACTGGAAACTCTGCAGCTCGATGTGCTCTTCCAGCCCACCAAGGCCAAGGAGTACAGCTTTGAACTGGTCTGCAAATCTGAGATCAACCGGTAAGCGTAAGGGCACCACCCAGAGCACCCACCCAGAAGGGTGAGCCCTTCCTGTCCCTACCCTGGCCTTCCCCCCCCCCGCCTGGTGACAGGCTGGATATGGGCAGGCCTAGGGTCCAGGCAGCCTCACACTCTGAGCCAGCTCGCTGAATGTGAGCAGGTGTGCAGGTGTTTGAGTGAATGTACGTGAGCGTTGTGTGAGCACATGTATGTGTGTGGTGTGCAGAGCCCCTCAGGATGTGAGAGGGAGCCAGGCGTGAACCCCAAGGGCTCTGATGCTCTAGGCCATGGCCTCTGCACCTCCCTGCATCTGAGAATGGGACTAAGGTGGTGGTAGAGTAGGACACAGGACTGGACGGGCAGGGGCTGGATCATCAGCCCCTCAAAATAGTGTTCTGGGGAAGAGGCCAGGACACCAGTAGTCAAACCCAGGAGTATTCCCATGCTAGGTCCAGCTCAGCCCAAGGCATCCTCTAGAGCCCCACCTGCCCCCTCCTCTCTTTTCTCTGTTGTCCTGTCCCCACCTGAGCTGTTGTTCTGTCCTGGCCGAGGGCCTAGACAGCCCCCAGAAGGTCAGCCTGGCCCTTCCACATCACAACCCACAACCCACTCTGGGCAGAACCAACAGGACACCGGGCTCATGCAACCCTGCAGGGAGGGTGGGGAGGAGTCTGTAGGCAGTGTGATCTCAGGAGCAGGTGCAGAGTTGAGACCCACAGAAACAAAGCCCTTAGTTTTAAGAGCATATAAATTGAAATTACTAAAAATTAAGATGAGGCCAGGCACAGTGGCCCATGCCTATAATCCCAGCACTCTGGGAGGCTGAGGCAGGTGGATCACTTAAGCTCAGGAATTCAAGAGAACCCTGAGCAAGAGTGAGACCCCATCTCTATTAAAAATAGAAAAAACTAGCCAAGCATTCTGGTGAGCACCTGTAGTCCCAGCTACTCAGAAGGCAGAGGCAAGAGGATTGCTCAAGCCCAAGAGTTTGAGGTTGCTGTGAGCTGTGACGTCACAGCACTCTACCGAGCGCGACATAGTGAGACTCTGTCTCAAAAAAAAAAAATTTAAGATGAAAGCCACCTGGCTCAGAGTCACTGTGAGGCCTCAGTGAGTAAAGCAGAGAGGGACAGATGGATAGCAGCAGCCCAGGGCACCCTGCAGGCTGCGCTTAGGTGGGAGCCTTGCAGATGCCATGTCTCTGTCACCAGGCCCCAAGTCCTCCCTCCTCAAATCCAGGTCGTCAATAAATCCTATAGCTTCAGGAATCACCTCCACACCCCTAACCCCATCTCCCTGCCTCTACTCTGTCAGCACCCCTAGTGACCTGCTCTCTCCCTGCCCACCCCAGGGCACATTGGGAACCACTGAAGGTGCCTAGGTCATTTCCGGGTTTTGACAATTGAGTAAAGCTGAACATTCACATGAGCACAAGTTCTCGTTTCACCAGGGTGAATATAGAGGAATTGCTAGGTAATATGGCAAATTTGTTTTCAACTTTATAGGAAACTGCTAAACTGCTTCCAAACAGCAACCCCCAACCTTCAGGTTCTCAGGAATGACGTATGAGTTTCCAATTGCTCCACACCCTGGCCAGATGAGTGTTTAACTCATTTAAATGAGTGGTTAAAACATTAGAAATGCTAAATCTGTCACCCAGTTTTCGTCATCAAGTTCCGGTACAATTTTTTTTTTTTTT